TTTTCAGACCATTTCTTTTGAATTTTACTTAGTTGCTTGGAAAGAACTGTTCTTCTTTCGCAATACTATGAATTGTGCCCCACTTTAAATACTTACGTTTATAATATACTGTAATTTATTGCGAAATTAGAAATAGCAACGATTTTTAGGTATGTATTTGAATGGCAATAGTTATGAAGCGAAGAATTGATTCAGAGCGTTCCTGTTAACAACAATTTTAATGAACGTAGAAAATTCTATAAACGCATAATTTTTATTCGAAGTCAAAGACAATCGATAATCCACCACTTCGTGGTTCGTGTAGGTACAGTGATGTGTAGATTCACTGAATGTTAGAAATTGCAAATTTTCAATATGTCTTATTCCAAATTTAATATATCAGGATCAATCAAGCAGTAACATAAATTAACAAATTTTAAAGCCACATTCATTTTAAAATTTAAATATTTACTCAATAAATTGCAAATCTTAATTTTCCAATAAAATTAAAATACGTAGAAGAAAGAAAAGTATAAATTTACAAACTATTATAAACTGCTCAAAGTGGACATTAAAAATTTACTTTGATCATTGATTCTCTTATATTATCTGAATTGTTTCAGTAAGTATTATATCATTGGTATTATATCATTTTATGGGAGAAGTTCAATTATTTCAAGGAAATTTACAATGATTGCTCGTCACAAAAAATTCACGTTTCATTTTATATCTACCTACACATCACTGCATAAATCTGTAACGAATTAATCAATTACCGCATCTGTTACTGTTGTTGGCCGTAGACCTAATTAGTAAACCTAATATCGCTCTTAGTGTACGTACACGCACATGAACGCATCGCAATGTAAACGCACTAGTTGAATTATGTACGGAAGATTGTCTAACGCACTGCGATTAATAGCCGGTGTATCATACAGACAACATTAAATAGAAAAAAGAAACGAGTACAAATGCTAACATTTTCTCACACTTGTACATTTCTATGATGTAAGTAGCAACGACGTAGCGACCGTATCGGGAAGCAATAGTGACTGCATAATGCTCGTTGACTGCAACGTGACTAAGCGTATCGCGAAATAAATATCGTTAATGCAGAACTGATACGCCGTATATAGAACTTTGCGAAATAGAAAGACAACGTACAAAGTCAAATTGACAATAATAAAAACGTATCGAACAGGTTGATAATGTAACTATTCGTAACTGTAATAAATTATTATTATTACATGCTCACAGTCGTTCTTGTTGTCATTTATAATTTGTCCTATATTACTTGAGGATGTTTATTTTGTAATTTGCAAATACGCATTTTCAGCCACCTTAAGTGAAAACAGTAAACTTTTCATGTATTTATAGAAACGTTTTAGTTATAAAGTAAGGCAATATTTTATTCTTCATCGATTAAAAACCTCGGCTTTATTTATTTCATAGCAGCAATTTAGGAATCGAACCTTCCACTGTTTTCGAACGTTTTTGTAAAACCTCGAATTCAACGATGTTATAGTACCAATTGTTAAACAAAAAAATTATATAACTCAAGGCGTTTAATAAAATGAGATGTAAAAACTACTATTAAAATTCATGTCATAATTAACTTATTTATTTCTTCTTTTTGGTACTCAAAAATGTTTCATTTTATATAATTCTAGAATGGAATTCTACACTTTATACCTGGGCATAATGAAAATTCAAATTTGGTTCGTATAAGCATATTCCATACAAACGTAAAACCTACGTATCTGGTATTGTAATGTAAGTACATTAAAAATTTCCAGTTTCTCTTGCAGTTACCTCACACTTTTCAATCCATGAAAATAATAATTAACATCCACTAAATTTATCAACAAAGTTAGGGGATTGCATTTTTTAATTTGTGGGGTTGACAATGATTCAGTGTGCACACATTGAACTTATATAAGTTGAAAAGCGGTCTTACGCGGTGAATCCTCATACGTTAAATCGGATTCCTCTAATTGCATTATGTGCCGTGGAGCAAAGTTTCGCGACAGAATCTAGTCATTCGAGTCTCATGCAACCCTAAGTTCGGTTCAAGGTACCTTCTGAAAGTGCCCGTCCGTTAACGAAACCCGGGGAGAGGAAACATGACAAAGAAGTTCGAATTCAATTGGCGGATCGAGGTGCCGGAGCTGCTGAGGAATGGCTCGACGTTCGATCGATGGTTCGAAGACAAGGAAACGACCGAATATGAACCAAATTGTTTGTTCAAAGTCGACGAATATGGATTTTTTATTTATTGGAAGAGCGACGGCAAGGTACCGTAAAACTACATTTTTAATTGAATATTAATGTGCATTGACCCTTTGTGATCGTATTAACCCCTTGTCCTACGTTTTCTTTTACAACTATGCTTGATACAACTACTTTATCGTTAAAAATTTGCTAAAAAGAAGAGAATTTGATGCTTATTCTGTATCTACGTTTACTCTAAAGATTGAAGATTAATAGCAAACAAGTGATATTTCATTTATATGGAAAATAAATAAATAACGTTTGCATTTGTCGAATTCGGTTGAAAATTTTCGTCACTAGTCTGACTCGATATTATTTGAAAAGGGGTTAATGTTATGTGCAAACAAAGTTTATGACTTGTTTTTAAATTTTAGACAAAACTACAATAATAGGTCTTTGTTTTACATAAATTATTTTAACAATAAATCTTTTATTGTTTTAACTTTTATTTATAATTCATAAGTTTATATTTTCATTATTTTCATTTTATACAAGCAGAACGGTGAAAGTGTTCTGTCAGGCATAGTTCGCTTTACGATCGTAAAGGGTTAATAATAGAAATCTTTTCAATATAGCAGAATATCTCTGCTAGTAATTTTATATTTGAGATTAAAGGATGCAAACACATTTAACGCAAAGGATAAATAATGTAGATAATAGAGAAAAGAATGTTCTGTTAATTTGATGACCTAAACATTTTATATTACTATTTTATGTATATTACATTTACATCGATTAGAGATTCTTATTTTAAATACAGTTCCATGTCACAGCCTTTTCGTAATGCTATACATCAGGAGTTTCAAAATATCTGAATAAAACAGTTTCAATAGCATTCATTTTAATTTCAAAACACTGTCGTCACTTTCTAACTGAAAAATTAAACGCAACATGTTTAATTTTATCGTGTGTCCCATATGAAAATGTAAGTTTTATTGAAATGATAGAATACTTGGTAAAGGCTATCTAAAACTGACCATTTTAGTATATAATTCGTAATATATTACTTGAATAATTAGTTCTACATAATCTCAACAGATTGTTCATACACCAGAAACTTATTCTAAATGAAGAGAAACATAATTATTACAATTTAAATAAACACTATTCATATTATATAAATTTTCATACAGGATGGTGACGTGATAGAATTGGCCCAAGTGAGTGACATTCGATATGGCGGAACGCCAAAGGTAATTTTCACAAATATTCAATTGTAAGAAACAAAATTATGAATTTTGCATAAACTCATAATAACGACAAAGGTACAAGTATAATTGCATTTTTACTAACAAAATTTTGTTGTGTTTTTTTCACTGGTACGAAATCCATTAAAATCAATAAAAAATAACTAAAACGCCATTGAATCACTAAATTTTAATTCCAATCGTTTTTCTTAAAAAGACATCAGTCAAATGTGATGAATTAGGTAGAATTTACAAATACGAATGTTTCAGTGTTATATTATAAATAATATAAAAAATATATTTCATTTTTAATAGTCTATTCGTAACTGTATTACTTAAGAATAATTATTAAAAAGAAACTAATGAAGTATTAGTTTCAAATGATAACAAACAACATTCATATTGTATAGTATACCAATCTCACGTGTAAATGGCTGAAAATTTATAAACGCTACATTTTTTAGGATCCGAAGTTATGTAATAAATTGAGTAAACACGGGACCATGGAACAAATAGATGAAAAAAGTTTAACTATATGTTCTGGTATCGATTACACGAATATCCACTATCAACATGTTATTTGCGCGGACGCCCAAACGGCCAAGGTAATGATAATAACAACAGAAATAAAAATTTCCTAGCTTTTATTCGCGGCAATTCGAGTTTTCTGAGAAAACATAACTGCTACAGGACTGGCAAGCTGGTCTGCGAAAAATCACGCATAACACGAAAGCTTCGAATGTGTGCCCGACAATACAGTTAATGAAACAGTACGTAACTCTTAGATAAGCTTTACCATTTCGGGGTTTCATAAATTCCTACAATATCGTCGATTCTTTGACAATTAAAACCCGTTTGTTTGTTAACCAGTTGGATGAGATTAAGCTTTCAAGTGGATCCAAAAGGAAAGGTGCCTGTGAAAGTAATATCGAAAACTTTCGCTTCTGGAAAAACTGAGAAGCTCGTTTATCAAGGTCTGGCAGACTTAGGCTTACCTAGCGGAAAGGTAAGTTTTGTTTCTATGTTTTTTATAGTTCAATTTTTTAGAATTATCTAGACAATTTAATAAAAATAAAAGAAAATTAATATGCAAAAGATTTTGTAATTTTTATAGTTGAATTGTTTAGAACCATCTAGATAATTTAATAAAAACAAAATGAAATTAAAATAGAAAAGCATTTGTAATACTTATTTATTGTAGAATTTTTTAGAATCATCCAAACAATTTAACAAATCCAAAAGAAAATTAAGATAAAAACGAATTTGTAATATTTACAGTTGAATTTCTTAGAATGGTCTAGATAATTTAATAAAAACAAAAGAAGATTAAGTGTTATAAATGTTTGAATTACTTATGTCGTACGTGTGAACATATGTCGTTGGTGTTAAAATATTTTACTATTTTCAGAGCGACAAAATGGAAGCGAAAGACTTCACATTTGAGAAATTTAAAACCTTATACTTTAAGATATGTCCTCGGAACGATATCGAAGAACTGTTTCAATCGATGTAAGAGTTTATTCGATTTACAGCTAAAATGTCGGCGTGTTCGTGTCAAAAGCCTCCAATAATAAAAGTTGACACAAGAAAAATCCTGTTTCAGTACGAAAGGAAAATCGGATACAATCAATCTGGGGCAGCTGGTGCAGTTTATGAACGAGAAACAAAGAGATCCTAGGCTCAATGAAATTTTATATCCTCTTTACGACGAGAAACGATGTACAGAAATTATTAACGATTATGAGGAAGACGAGAAAGTGAGAAATTCAAGTAAGTTGACACTTCTTATATTTATTTACAAATTCAAATTTTATTGTAACTATATAGGAAGAAAGAAAATTTCAAAATAAATTCAGTTGAAAAGTAATTAAAGTCGTAAATTTCAAACTACTTAAATATTTCAAAATTTTCAGTTTATACACAAGAAAAGGTATCGAACCCGGAAATTCAAAAAATTGATGTAATGTAGAGTAAGTCAAGCCTAATACATTGCAATCTTTCACATACCGAATTACACTTTAAAGGGGTGAAACCGCCCCTTTAAAGAAATGCAAATTTTCTTTCCCTTTGATTATCTTGAATACGGTAAGAAATAGCGAAAAAGGTTTAAACAAAAAGTTCTTTAACGTCTATAAAATTACAAAACAAAATTTTAAAAAATTTTGATTTTTAAAATGATTGGTTTCCAAATTTTATTTTACAATTTCATAGACGTGAAACAACAGTGTATTTTTTGTTTAAACTTTTTTCGCTTTCCCTTGCCGTTTTCAAGATAATCCAAGGAAAAAAGAAATTTTCATTTTTTCGAGGGATGGTTTCACCCCTTCAAAGTGAAATTCCGCACGAAGAAATTGCAATTTATTAGACTCGACTTACTCTATTTACACACAAAGTTTCATAATTCTTTGAATTCCTGGGTTCGATACCTTTCCTTGTCAGATCCATTTCATAATATTACAAAAGTACACGTAATGAAGATGTATGCGTAGCCAATTCTTGCAGCAAGAATTAACCAAATACATAACGAATGAATGAACGAAGATGAAAAGAAAGATTGATTTTCTCGAAACGTTGATTGGTTGACTTGCGCTGTTTTGGAAGTCGTGGCTTCAATTATATCAATTCTAATTATTTTTCTTACAGAAAGTTTTACCAAAGAAGGCTTCATTCGTTATTTAATGTCCGACGAAAATGCTCCGGTATTTCTAGACAAACTGGAGGAATGGATGGACATGGATCAACCTCTTTCGCATTACTATATTAATTCAAGCCACAACACTTACCTAAGCGGCAGGCAAATCGGTGGTAAAAGCACTGTCGAAATGTACAGACAAGTGCTACTAGCTGGTTGCAGGTGATTATTTGTTATTTGCTTCTTTTATTTTGTAATAAAAATTATATTCCTTCTTTTCAAAACGTTTTTGTATTTACATGGTATATATATATATTTACTGTAGAGAAGACTACTATTTGCTGTAGTGAAGTTCAAAAAGAAACTTTACAGGTCCTCTAAGGATTAAAAAATGAATAAGAAACGAAGAATTATTGTCGTTATTTTCTTCTGCAATAAGTAGCAATATTACGCTCTTAAAACTTCAAACATAGGAATATATTTCTATATATTATTGGCGAAATAAGGATCAATATAGAAATTATTTGAAGATTTTGTTATTCATTAATTATTATTATTCATCAGATGCGTGGAACTCGATTGCTGGGATGGAAAGGGGGAAGATGAAGAACCAATTATAACTCACGGGAAGGCTATGTGTACAGATATTCTTTTTAAAGATGTTATATATGCTTTAAGAGACACTGCATTTGTCACTTCGGAGTACCCTATAATTTTGAGCTTTGAAAACCATTGCTGTCTCAAACAGCAGTACAAATTAGCTAAGTACTGTGACGAAATATTAGGCGATCTGTTGCTAAAGGAGCCATTAAAGGATTATCCGGTAAGTAAAATTTATTTTTCGCGTATCTTCAATGTTATATTACATTGTAGTACCAGATATTACTACATTTTTAATGTCAGATAATATTATATTGACTTATAAATGAATTTTACTGAATAACTGAATACAAACATAAAATAAATATCTATATAAACACCTTGAAGTCTTACACAATAACAGATCTGATATCATTAAATCTGCGTTATTCACGTTGCAATGCAATAATTAAACTGTTAATTTAGAATAACGAATATTCTCCTTTTTAATCTTGTATATCTCTGATTGAGTTTGGTTAATTTTACTTATTTATCCAAACAGTCTTGCATTGAAATATGCCATAATACACATGGGAATGTAAACTAAATTATATAGTAATACCCGCTGAAATTTCACTATAATTTGCGTGGTTAAATTCCCAAGACTAATCCTCACTCTTCCCCCACCAGTCAGTCCCTCGAGCTCGACGAAGTCTCATCTCAGTAGGCAAGAACAGAGAATGAATACAATAAAAAGAAATGTGATCGATTGTGAAAAATAAACATCCAATGAAGCAAATTTTATTTTCCGTAATTTTAGTCCTGTTTCTGTAATTGTAACGCAATTGGATAATTGAGATTCTTCCGAGTAAAACGAGCACAAACAAGATGCAAATCGGACTAATTTTGCCGGTTTAATACAAGTAACAAAATTAAATATATGAATGTTTCAAATCGATAAAACTGGTTCAATTTGCGTCGTGTTTGGACTCATTTTAGTCTGGAGAATCTCAGAAATCTATTAGTGTTACATTTGTACAGGTGAGGTGAAAATTACTGAAAATAACATTTTCCCTCCTGTGTGTTTATTTTTTTTCAGATGCGGTATAGTTTTGCAGTATCGTGTCACGTCATCGCTGCTCGACGTACTGCGTTCATCTTACTTACGCTCGTTATTTGAGTTTTGTGAAATTTAAGCGGGCATCACTGTAATTGTATTCGCTGTGAAGTAAATTGCTTCTATCGCTATTCCACATTATTTGATTTTATTCGATATTCATGGTCGACAAATTACTCGTTTAAAACGTTAATCGATGAAAACAATAATGAAACAGTTTTTCAAAGTTAACAACATGTTATATCTTATATGAGCACGCAACACGAAAAGTAAATAGAGATTATAATACTTTTTTATCGGAGTGATGAATGTGTAGCAAGAAATATGTATTAAGTCATCCCATGAACAATGCGGTTTTTTATTTTTCTTCCATTTTTAAAAATAAAGATGAACAAACCTTTTTTTAAGTAAGTATAATGTATAAATAGACAATTTATAGATAATGGAGGAGAATATGTTTCAGATTAAAAACAATTTTGTCTATCTCTATTATTAAAAATAAAAGAAATATAAAAAACTGCATTGTTTATGTAAGGGCCTAATAATTCTTTATTTTGTAATCGTAAACTAAATGTTACAGCTCGAACCAGGGCAACCGCTTCCACCACCAAGTGCACTAAAGCGCAAAATATTAATAAAAAATAAAAGGTTGAAGCCGGAGGTGGAGAAAGTCGAACTAGAATTGTTCCGGTCCGGACAATTCGAAGCCAAAGATGAAGTGGTTGAAGATCCAAATGCACCTGCGCCCCCACCGCAAGAACCACCGAAGGTTTGTTGCTATGATTATGTTCATCATTCAAAACCGAAGAATTGTATCTGTAATTTTGACAAGATGAGCTTAAAAAATTGAGTTAAAAAAATTCACAATTCAGTTACTATTAACGCAAAAATGACCATCAACCAAATATAAACTTTTATGGAAATTGTCATACTTTTTACATTGATTAACAGCTAAAGAAGTAAATCAAATAAAAAATAAAAGTAAAACAAATCAAATAAAATATTACTTCGAATTTCTTAAAATTTGCTAGTCTTACAGTAAACTTTGGATAATAGTAACATCGGAGACCTCTTCATAATTGCAACGTCGTCATCCCCACCATATCCTCAGCGAGTTTCTTTTAACATACCACGGCACTCGACAACCAATCGCGGTTGAAGAGTGTAACATAATCCGATTATTGTCCCTTTCTATGTATATCTGAAACATCGATCATTTATGTTTTGAAGTTTGATTTTTGAGTTAAAGGTCTCAAGCTCATCGCGAGCCTTTAATGTTTCTGACCGGTTCGACTCTCAGTCTTTCTTTTTCCTTCACTCGTGTTGTGCTTTTCTACGTCCGTTATGCTAAAATCTTCATTTCTTGAGATCAAATCGATTCTACCTCTTCATAATTGCAATCTTCTGGTTCTGTTGAGTGTTCCAGTTATCCAATGTTCACTGTAGATAAAAATATACTATATATTTATCTTTACGAATATGTTTCATATTTAAAAATAAAATTAGAATATCCTGTAATAAAAAGAACACGGACATTTATTTTTTGTTGTCATTGACATTACACATCAAATATTTTTTCATCATTGAAATTGCAGGAGATATCTTAATAGTTAGATTTTGAAACACCTCGTGTATCATATTATTTCTATTATGTGTAATATTATTAATGTAATTATATAATATGAAACGTATAAAAGCCATCTGATCGAACCAATATTCTCTAATCAACATTTACACATAATGAATAACATAAACAAGCAACACTTATTAAAATCATCATTAATTAGTGAACTATTAATTGAGCAGGATATAACAATTATTGCTTTGATTGAAATTGATTTATCGAACATAAATGCTGGATATTATTTAATATACGTGCTATTAGATGCTGATATTGACGTTCCTAACGTTGATATTGAAAAATATTAAAAACTTTATAAAAACACATTCTGCTGTACAAGTATAAGCATTTATTATTACAAGGATTCCATTTATTAAATTATTAAATTCTTTGAAACTTAAAACTGTCCAGAATACAAAGTAATTACGTACTAATGTTTCATTAAATTTTTATAACTATAAATATAGTTAATCCGGTTTCGTTCTTCGGGACTTTTTAACCTAATCATGTTTCCAGTTTTTTAACACTATTTAGTTTCTTGAATTTCTTTTATCTAACCGTATTCTCATTTTATCAGGTATAGTTTTTGAGTGTAATTATTATTAAACTATGCGTTTCCACTTTTTCAATAATATTTCAAATATTAGATAAGCCACATAAATTACGTAGCATTGCAACATATAAAAAGCATTGCAACAGTGCTAAAGTAATACATTTCTCTATTTAGTATTACTTTGATTTTATATAATACATTATATCAACCCCTTGAGCAGAAATGACGTGCTCACTGCGCAGAACTTAATTTTAGAAATCAATCTATAAATTTGCCGTAACATGGGCAAAATATATTTCTCATTTTCATAAAGAAATTTAATTGAATCTGTAGTACCTCAGTTTTCATTGTAATAGTTGTTTCATTAAAGCTGCGATAAAATTAAGTAGCGTAAAGAGGAGCATTTAATTCCAAATAAATCGGATGGCAAAGAATTAAGCAGATTTATTGGTACACATGCAGTAGGTGTACTAAAAGTTTGTTTCTGATTCTTCAGTAAAATCAATGTTTTATCTAAAATAACGTACTCATAAATAATGTCCAATCACCAAAGTAATTTCCATTATTATTTATGACATTCTACCACTTCCAGGATGTGAATTTATCTAGATAAATCAAGCTTATCGAAAAGAATGTTTTACTTTACTTAATATATGTACATATATGTACTAACAAATCTGCTTAATTCTTTGCCGTCCGATTTATTTGGACTAATATATAATTATATATTATTATCCAGACTGATTCATTCAATCGTGCCATCTGAATGTATTTATAAACCATTTATCACATAGCAAAAGATTCTAAACGAAAGTTATTTTATTTGTTGTTAGTAATTTCTATTTTTGATGTCAAACAACTTCTGCAAACATTTTTGTACCCAACAAATAAATGTTGTTGGTACGATTAAACGACTCACCCTATATTTTATAATTACGATTCGCATTATTTGTTTATTGAAAGCGAATATGGAACATTATAGGAAGAAGCACCACCGGAAGGTGCACCAGCTGAAGGGGGTGCGCCAGGCGAAGGAGGTGCTGAAGGTGAAGCACCACCTATCCAGTATACCGGTAGTACCATGGCTTGCCATCCCTGGCTTTCTTCGATGATCAATTATGCACAACCGATAAAGTTTCAGAGCTTTGAAACTGCGGAAAGTAAGTAAAATACTTAGTTCCTTCGTAATAATAAAAAAGAAACATAGTTCTCTATTATATTAAGAGTACCCATAATTAATGGCGTCTCGGCCTGACGTTTGTCATTGAAACAATGTTGCAAATTTCGTGTGAATCAAATTGATGATCTATTAGCGCTAAAGTGACCTCAAACACTGTCCTTACAAGCTGTTTAAGTTTACTGGCAGATTCAATATCATTTAAAAAGAATGTGTTCAGATAAAATTATATATGCTTTACGAATTTCGTAAAGAAAACAATGCTACCGTTGCAACAAATAATATTAATAGTGTTTATCCCGAAGTACTAAGTGTCTGCAAGTGTCACTGATGATTCACCAAACTTTAACGGGGACTTTCGTCTGTAAGACGATGAGAGGTCAGGAAGTCCGCCTCTTCTTAAAGACGACGAATTGAGGGGTGTAGTTGAAAAAGATCCGAGTTCGACAATTGGCAAGATAGCAGATATCCTTGGTGTATCGTGGTTTATAGTTCAAAAACATATTCGCAAAAGTGGAAAGATATACGGCAATGCGGAAAATAGATCTCGCATGTCCTTAGTGCAGACGATCGAGCAGCGAGAGTTGCTGTATGCAATTCGTTACTCGTTAGACACAAAGCAAAGCCCTTTTAGATCGTTTAGTTACGAGGGATGAAAAATGGGTTGTGTATGATAATTTAAAGCGGACACCATTATAATTACCCCAAAGTGATATACCGATGCCAACTCCAAAACCGCATATTCATGCGAATAAAGTGCTGTATGTATGATTGAATTTGTAGGTAGTTATTCATTTTGAACCTTTTAAGCCCAGAAATACTGTTACTGCCAGCCTTTGTTGAAAACAATTAACACGCTTAAGCAGTGCAATTGTAAAATAACATTCTGCTTTGATTAATAAAGAGGCTGTCATACTGCAGCACGACAAGACAAAGCCACACACTGTAACAGTCACGCAGCAAAATGTCAGAGAACTTACACTGAGAAACTTTGATACATCCGTCGTACTCTCATGTTTTAGTCCCACCTGATTTTCATTTATTTAGATCTCTACAGCATCTTTTAAATAGTAAAAGATGTTGCAATTATGAAGATGTCAAAAACGGAATACAAAAGTATTTTAACGAAAAATCAAGGAATTCTTATAAAAGGTGCATACAAAAGCTCATTTCCAAATGGCAAAATATAGACGACTACGGCGATTATATCATTGACTCAGTGTTTCATGTATAATTTAAAACACTATGAAATATTTATTGTCAAAACTTGTATGTAGTCAAAACATTTGTTTTAATGAAGCGGAAATTCAAAAGTCAAGATTCTTCATAACGATTGCTCTGTTGTGCTTCTTGTATCTCATATAACCAATAAAATTTCGGAAAATTAATTTGGGCAACCTGATGGGCAAAGTATTAACACGAGGAATACGTTCAAAGAAAACCAAGCGAATGATACAATGTTAATGAGGTCATCTTAACGCGTAAATAATGGGGATACGTGAAACATATTAGTGAACAGAAAAATATATCATTTTTCTTGTTTTATATTGAAACATATATCCTATGAATACATCAATTTAAAAACCCGCGTTAAAGTAATGAAAAAATGAAAATATTACAATAAACACAATTGCAATTAAGTTTTAAATTAACAAAAGACAAATAAAAATCATCTGTTATAATGAACGCAGTAGTAAAGAATATTCTAAATTAACAAAACACAAATAAAAGCTATTTATCACAATAAATTGCGAAAAATGTTTCAAATTGATAAAAAATAAATCAGAATGTTTTATCGTAATAATTTACTGTGGTGATATAAACGCAGCATTATTATTATTACAGAGAAAAATATTCACCACAACATGTCTTCGTTCTCGGAAACCGCTGCACTGAATTATCTGAAAACTCATTCAGTGGAATTTGTTAATTATAACAAACGTCAAATGAGCCGCATCTACCCCAAGGGTACTCGAGCTGATTCCTCAAATTACATGCCTCAGGTAAATCAGATGATTACAGTAAAGAAATTTTATTAAAGTGCATATTTAGATCAGAGAAGATTTCATTTTATAAAATAATGTTTAAATGTCACGTGTCCTTAATCATTTATCTAAATAAATAAAATTTCCTAAAGAACTATTTATTTCCGAAATAAAAATTTACTTACTTCGTCTTGCGACTGTAAAAACTTTCAACAAAATAATTATTGTAACTGAGTGTATGTCTACGGAAGAAATAATTCATTTTGTACATTCTTAATTGCTAGGTCTTCTGGAACGCTGGCTGTCAGATGGTAGCATTAAATTTTCAAACGCCAGATTTACCTATGCAGCTGAATCAAGGAAAATTTGAATATAACGCGACAACGGGGTACTTGTTGAAGCCTGATTTCATGAGAAGGCCGGATCGAAATTTTGATCCATTCTCTGAGGACGTGGATGGTGTTATCACTGCTCAATGTTCCGTACAAGTTAGTGTTATTTTGTAACCAGCATTATATAATATAAAGAATCATCAAGAAGCATCGTATAATATAAAGAATCTAATTAAGAAATTAATTCATAAAACACTACATTTTTGTTCCAGATAATAGCAGGACAATTTTTGTCTGATAAAAAAGTGGGCACTTACGTTGAAGTAGATATGTATGGTTTGCCGGCAGACACTATCAAGAAGGAATTTAGAACGCGAATGGTGCCAGCGAACGGGTTAAATCCAGTTTACAACGAGGAACCATTTCTTTTCCGAAAAGTTGTGCTTCCAGACTTGGCAGTTCTCAGATTTGGTACGAAATTGATTCTTAATGTTATAATAATTGATAAGAACAGAAAGAAAATTGAAAGAATCAGTGTTATAACATAACTTATCTATATTCATTTGAAGTCAGCGTACTGAAATCAAGGTTATTTCGTAGCTACAGTTTAGTAAATGTTTATAATATATAGAATGATTTCCATTGACATGTAGGATATAACGAAATTAATTAACAACAGTGCATTACTTTTTACTTTAATGTACCTATTCTTAATTACTTAAATAAAGTAATTTATTTTAACAAACACCGCATTAATCTACGCATTAAATCATTGTATTAAAAAAGAACACAATAATAAAGTAATCAGTAACTCATACTAACATTAACCTACAGTTGAAATACTTTAAGATAATTCTAATGCTTCCAATTATTGAGTTTTCACTTACATTATTCTCCATTATTAAAACACTATTAATTATCACTTTTCACGAGTAATACACAAACAGTTTAGTCTTCTATTTTTGCAGCACGGGTGACTATTCGTATCATATTTTACGAACACGTATAGCTTCATTTATTTTTTCAAAAAATTTAATTATTGAATTACACAAAATTTGTATAAATTTTCTTAAAAAATTAAACATAAGCCTTGGTTGCAAAACTGGGTCGAAATAGTTCTATATCCTTTTTACACATTAAACGTGATGTAACCGAAGCACACTTTTCCTCAAACATTTCTATTTACATTTTTAAATAAAAAAACGGAAGGACGAAAAAGTAACGCGTAATTCACATAAAAATCATGTACAAAGCGTTTCCGAAATACTGTACGCTCACGAAATCGATCGAGATTTTATATCCCGCGAGAAAGGGATAATAATAACACACTACAGGAAGCGGCACAAACTTCCCGCTCGACTCGACAAAAATGTATATTATTACAATTTATTTCGTGTACAGGCGTATACGAAGAGTCTGGCAAACTGCTGGGTCAACGTATTTTACCACTGGATGGCCTTCAGGCTGGATATAGACATATTTCGTTGAAGACCGAGGCGAATTTCCCTATGGCACTGCCGATGTTGTTCTGCAACATTGAGCTGAAGATTTACGTGCCCGATGGATTCGAAGGTAATAACTTGAGCAAGTTTCTCGGGCAAAAATAGAAGTGTACCGCGGATAGCTCTGATTCGAGCACGGTTCCTCCCGTTGCAGACTTCATGGCAGCCCTGTCTGATCCGGGTGGGTTCAGCAAGGGAGCAGAAAAACAAGCCGAGACGATGAAAGGACTCGGGATCGAGCAAACCGACGCGAAAGCGGAGGCCAAGAAGAAGAAAGAGGAAGAGGCTAAGAAGGGTATATACACATTTTTTAAGTAAATTACATCTATAACGGTCGGGCCGACGGGAAAGCGGTAAATAAACTTCCCTAATTATTCCCGGATGAATTCTGTTTATCCGCGTGTCTTCTGGAGTGGTTTAGCGAAGATTGTAATTAGAGGGAATAAGACCTGGTCCTAGGATCGTTACTGAGTTAGCATTGATTCTGTTTAAAATAATGGGAATAGTAATTTGTAAATAATTTATATAAAAAAGATGGGTATACTGAAATTTATCACGCATAAAGCGAATAAGAGTAAATAAATTTTACTTGTGAAAAGTGTAAAAATATTAAATGTTCTCTAATCAAGAGTGATATTAAAAATTATAGATTTTTTAAATAGTCACATTATTACGTAATATTCTCATTAACCAGACAACTACGTTTGACGAGTTATA